GCCTGAATCTTGGCATCTTTGACCCTGAAGCCACAAGGAGGAGCTGTGACTCTACTGAGGCTCAGGGAACCCTGAGGAAGGGCTGACACAACTTCTGGATGGGAGAGGGTTAAGAGAAAGACTGCCTTCATTTACAATGTGGGGGCAAGTGGTCTGCAGAGGCTGTGAGGCAGTGCTGAAAAGGACAGACTGCTCACTTTGCCCTGATGTGCATACGTGTCTGTCCCAGCAAAGAGCCTGGGCTGCCAGACTGACTCCAGGAGAGCCTTTCGGGGATGAGAAAGGAGGATGCTTTGAGTTGGGCAGGGTGATATCCTGCAGCAGATTCAGGCTGAGACCCCTTCTTGGGAAGAATGAGAGAGGGCCCCGGGGTGGACTTTGTTCAGCCCAGGGCAGCTAAGTCCTGACAGCCAAGGAACTCCTGGGGCCCAGGAAGGGAGCCTGCCTGGCTAGGGGGGTCCTCAGGGATTTTGCAGAGATGGCAACAACCTCAGGAAATTCGTTATCAGAACAGACGGGACCTAGAGCCTCATATCTTTCACTGCAGAATAACAGGGAATTCAGCTAGAAAGGATGTTTTTCCTTGTATCTCTTGTGGATGATCCTCTGCATTCTGAGAGAAGGACTGTCCAGCACTGATAGGAAACTGCTAATCTGGGTTTCAGCAAATGGTTCTGTTAAAATGGCAGCACCAGATTCCTATGTGGAATCCATCCCCAGGTTCTGTCTCATTCTGCAAAGACCCATGGAAGCTAGAATTATCCAGATATCAAATACCTGATACTGCCCAGACACCTTAGATAGAAAAGGAGGTGGCCCTGAAAGGTGCCCAGGATTCACCCCATCACGTGACTTTTCACTTTGTTTTCCCTAGAGGTTGTCCTTTCACCTTTAATAAAAGGGATTTGAAATTTCCCTTGCTTCTGAGATATCCAAAAACCACAAGAAAGTTACATTTGAGGTAGGCTTTAGTTTTGCAGCAAGAAAGAAGGTTCAGAATTATCTATCTATCTATCTATCTATCCATCCATCCATCCATCCATCCATTCATCCATCCATCTATCTACTTTGAGACAGAGTCTCACTCTGGTGCTTGGGGTACAATCTGGTAATGTGACCTAGGCTCTCTGCAAACTCAGACTTCTGGGTTCAAGTGATATTCTTGCCTCAGTCTTCCAAGTAGCTGGGACTACATGGGATGAGCCATCATGTCCAGCTAAGTTTTCTACTTTTGGTAGAGATCTCACTGTTGTCAGGCTGGTCTCGAACTCTTGACCTCAAGTGATCCTCTCACCTTGGCCTCCCAGACAGTTCAGATTATAGGCATGAGCCTCTGTGCCTGGCACAGGATGTGTTTATACTCCTGAATCTACTCTTCCATGCTGCCGGAAGTGAATGGTACCCCCATGTTTAACAGGCACATAGCTACTCCTTCTGGGATGATTACTTTATTACTTCATCTTAGAATGGGATAAAGGAATCCAATGTAGATAGATAATTCATATGTTTATAATCAAATATAAATTTCTTACCTTTCTGTAGTATGACTACTTTGAATTCTGTTGAAAATATATATATGTATATATGTGTGTGTGTGTATATATATAAAACACAACAACACATACTTCTAAGCTCAATATGAAATATTCAAAGTCATTAGCTTCAACTTGAGGCTTGAGGTCTTAAGTGTCCTTGGGGACTTTCTCCACTCCTTCCCTCACCAAACACCCATAGCTTCTTTTCAAAAAAGGCATGTCTACTTTTCATAGTTGAAAAATGCCTGGGCAATTTTGCAGTGCATTTAAGTTTTAACCATTCTTTCAAGTGTCTGTATGTTAATTATTTATGGTCAATAGTTATTATAAATATAAATATTTTGAGTTGATAGATGAGACGTTGATAGCTAAATAGGCAAATAGCATGAACTGATGTTGTGTAAAGAAAAAAGGAACATGGTCTGTAGAGGACATCCTACCCGGCTTTCATCTGAATTTATAATCGGAAAACTGGCGGCTGCTGGTCCACCTGCAGGCTCATGATCACATGAGTTGATGACTTTTGCATTCTTCTCAGTAGGAAAGGAGATGTTTTTGTATCAGAGTGAGAGGCACCATTTTCTTGCATGAGTTCTTAGGGTAATGGAAGAAGTGATATTCTCAAGGCAAGTCAGAAAAGTGGAGACGGTGATGGAGGTTTTATTTCTAGAGGAGGAAGATTGTATTTATAGAACATACCCAAACACATTTCTTTCCCATGTAAGAACCAAATTTGGAGTAAATACTCCAAAAATAACAAGGTTTTAAATAAAACATTTGATAGCCAAAAGTAAGACCAATGTCCAAAATTTGTGTCATGGTAGGTAGCACTTAGGCCACTTGCCACTTGTAGTTTTCTCTCATCCTCTGCCCATTCTCACTGACCCTGGCCCTTTATTTGGATTAAGTTGTATCCGTGATAAACCTACTGCTTTGTTTCGAATTTACTTCCCTGCCATGGGGCTGGCTTTTGCTAGGACTCTCAGCACCCTCCCTCTCTGTCTCTGTCTTGTTCATATTTGTTTCCCCTCCTTCAGTGTAGCCGGCCTTGTCAGAAAAGAAGGTATAAACGGTCATATGTGATTTATTCTTTTCACTGATGGATGAATTCTTGATAGACAATAAAATATTCTTGTTTTACGACTCTCCTGTAAACAGTAATAATAAAACAACCACCAGAGGTAACGTAACACGTGGTAACAGTTTCTTTACACCTGCTTCATTCCAGCATCTCCTCCAGAGGCTGCCTACCCAAAAACACTTCCACAAAATGGTGAGACAGATACCTGTTTAAAATCGACTCTTTAAGGCTGTTCACTTGCCTTTACCACTGTGGTTATGGTCGCCGTAATCTGTAGCTGCTTCTCTTTTCCCTTCCTTCCTTCCTCTCTTCCTTACTCCTTTTCTACTGGCCTTTTTTTTTTTCTTGAAAAGCTTCCAATGTAAGTTGTGTGGTGAAATGAGGTAGATTCATGGGACACTGGATGAATGCAGCTTCCATCTTGGGGTTACACCTGGTTGTGTTTAGAGCATTTATAGCTAGGCAGTCATAAATATTATGTAAGTCCATTGTTTTATAGATGAGAAAAGGGGGTGCTGTATAAACTATTTGAATGTCAATACCGAGTATACTACTGACCTCCAGGTAACATGTAGTTTACACCCTTCCTCTGTAGGTAATGTGTGAATCTACTTTTGCATCTATCAGAATAGAAGCATCATGAGAGTGAGAATGATGTCTCATGCATGCTTTGTTCTAACTAGCCATTCGATGACAGAAACAGATAAAAACATCCTTTAATTTCCAAGCATAGCAGAGGTCATTTCTCCTTTGTTTACTGCTGCACCTCCAGGGCTAGTTTTATGTACAATAAAAAACAAATGAACCAACAGGGTCTGCCTTGGAAGGATGTCACCCAGAATTGACATGTATTACCAAGGGGAGTTTATGGGTTTGTTTCTCTGAAATGTGATTCGTGCAAAAATGTGATGACTTTCCTGACTGCAGTGTTTCCTTGGCCTTTCTCCTCCTGGATGCTGACCAGAACAGTGATGGGGGACACCAAGAGATGAGAGCTGGGCCTCCCTGGCTGCAGCAGGGGGAACTGTGGCCCTACCAAGTCCTGAGGCTGGGGGCAGAGGGGAGGCGGGGAGGGAAAGGGATGGACTGTTGGAAAAAGTAAGCAGATAGCAGTTCTTCAGCAGGGTGGAGACACTGTTGGTTGTCACAGTAGGGGTGGTTGCTGGTATCAGGTGCAGGGGCCAGGGATGCCACTAAATATCCCACATGCTCAAGGAAGCCCCAAGACAAAGATTCATCTGATACTACACGTGAGCAGCTCTGGGTTTGAGGCATTGGACTGCAAACTTGTGTTCAAAACAAGGGTGATATTAGAAACTCAAGGACAGGACAGTTATTACAGCAGGCCTTCCCTGCTGTCCACAGGTTGCTATGTCCATTTACACTGTGACCTCTTACTCTCCGGCAGTATCCTGTGCCCTGGAAGCTCTGCCCCTGCAGAGATAAGAATATCACAGGCTCTGGGGATGCACGTTTTACCCTCAGAGACTCATCATCAGACTTTGCTCCTAAATTAGACCACATTCCTACATTTACATGGCTGCTGCTGGTCCTCAGGGAGACCTCTAGTCAATCTATTCTGAAACAGTCAGGGAGGGGAGTCACTGAGCATTCATCAGATATTCAAAGGAGCAAAGAATGAAAATGAAAATGAAGTCCTTGCATCAGCCATATACACTGGGGCTGGTGGGTCCCAACTGGCCTGAGCCTGCCAATAATGACAACTATAACCAAAAAATATCTGGGCGTTGTGGCAGACACCTGTAGTTCCAGTTACTTGGGAGGCTGAGGCAAGAGGGTAGCTTAAGACCAAGAATTTGAGGTTGCTGTGAGCTGTGACATCATGGTACTCTACCAAGGGTGACATAGCGAAACTGTGTCTCAAAAAGAAAGAAGGAAGGAAGGAAGGAAGGAAGGGAGGGAGGGAGGGAGGGAAGGAGGGAGGGAGGAAGGAGAGAAAGAAAGAAAGAAGAAAGAAAGAAAGAAAGAAAGAAAGAAAGAAAGAGAGAGAGAGAAAGAAAGAAAGAAAGAAAGAATTTCTACATTCCTGTGACGAGGAGTAGAAGATGCTGAGAAGGGGGACTAGCCTGACTCTGAGGGAGGGGCCCAAAGGGAGAGGGAGGGAGGAGGGGCTGAGGTCCTGGGTGAGGAAGAGGAGGGAGGCTGTGACTGGCACAGGAGTGACACTCAAGCTGTCCCCAGAAACCAAAACACTCCTCTAAAGGAGCAAGTGCAGGACCTGAAAGAAGAGGCCAGGGCAGGGCAGCCCTGATACAGGGGGACAGCACCTGTGACCTCACACGCACAGCCCTCTCAGGGAGAGGAGCCACAGCCTCCTCTTCTCCCCACTGCAGACCAGAACCCTGGGCTGGGGCCTGCCTGGTCCTCCTGCCCCTGCCATGGGCTCCAGGCTCCTCTGCTGGCTGGGTCTCTGCCTCCTGGGTGCAGGTGAGTCCTCTGTCCACGTGACACGGCCTTTCTGCCTGCCCAGAGCCACGGGCTAGCCTGGGACGTGCCTGAATTCTGCTTCTCTCCCTCACAGGCCCCTTGGACACTGCTGTTTTTCAGACTCCCAAATACCTTGTCACACAGGTGGGAAGAAATGGGACCCTGAAATGTGAACAAACTCTGGGCCATAATGCTATGTACTGGTATAAGCAGGACTCCGAGAAACTTCTGAAGATAATGTTTGTCTACAGTAATAAGGAACGCATTGTAAATGAGACAGTTCCCAGTCGCTTCTTTCCTGAGTCTTCAGACAAAGCTCGTTTAAAACTTAAAATCACGTCTCTGGAACCAGGCGACTCTGCTGTGTACTTCTGCGCCAGCAGCCAAGACACAGCCCTGCAGAGTCACTGCCTCCCTGTGCACAAACCTGCAGACTCAGCCAGGAAGCTGCGGGGACCCTGTGTGCACCTGCTCCCTGGGGCTCCCTTCTCCCTGCCATGCGGGAAGCCTGACAGAGCTCCAGTCGGTGTGGTATGGTCTGTCAGTGTCCCCAGGGAGCAGGTCTGCATTTCACTTACTCACCTGTCTGACAGAATTTCATTTCTTGGCTAGAGCTGGGGTTCACAAGGACCTCCAAAGTACTAGGACCTTGCAAACCAAAAAGGACCTTGTCCCATGCACTGAAGATTGGAACTCACGGAGCAAACTGTTTCCTGTCTTTCCCTCCTGTACCTATTGGTCCTTCTTTCACATGGAATTACGGTTGAAACCACACTATTCCTAAAAATCTTTGATGGTCATAGGTATAAAGGAGGGAGGAGAGTGAATGTTTCTAAACTTTAAAGGAAATTCAGATGACCTGTGAGCATCCTGTCAACAGAAATGGATCTGCAGAGGCATGAAAGGTGCCCTGGGGAGAGGGAGGAGGGAAGTCAGGGTACTGGCTGTGCACTGGGGAGGCCTTCCCTCAGCAGGGAAGCCAACTGGGGTTCTCTTCCAATTCTGGCTGCTTCTGGTCTTCACTCTCCTCAAGAGCAGAAAACAGGGCAGCGCCTGTGGCTCAGTGGGGCGCCGGCCCCATATACCGAGGGTGAAGGGTTTGAATCTGGCCCTGGTGAAACTGCAACAAAAAAATAGCCCAGCGTTGTGGTGGATGCCTGTAGTCCCAGCTACTCGGGAGGCTGAGGCATGAGAATCACCTATGCCCAAGAGCTGGAGGTTGCTGTGAGCTGTGATGTAATAGCACTCTACCAAGGGCAACTGAGTGAGGCTCTGTCTCTTAAAAAAAAACAAAAAACAAGCAGATGACAGGGGCTAATGTGAGACACAGAAAGGACTCTGGACACCAATTTTAGGCAGCAGTTGGTCATGGTATAATGACACCAGCAACAGCATGAATCAGAAAGGAGATAGATTTAGGGAGGCCTGAACAATTGTAAGACTTCTAATATATTCAACATGAAAGATTTCAAAGGGCATTATGTGTGACATAGTGGACGATATCACCTAGAGGTACTGGCTTATGTTGTTTCTTGGAAAGAGTGACGGGTTTTGTGCTGGTAGGTCTGAATGTAGGATTTGCTAGGGTCTGTGCCAGCTTTGTCCCTCCTCTTAGGGAGCCCCAGCGTGTGGGCATCATTACTAGTGCATGGCTTTTCTGGGGTTACGGTGGGATTACAACATGTTCCAGGTAGCTCTCCTCTCTCCCTGGGTCTGAATTCCAATGTCTCCCAACTCTCAATGTCTTCTGAAATCTCTGCTGAGCCCTCCAGCCTTCCAGAACTTGTTCTCTGCTCAGCCTTCTGGAATCCCACCCTCTGCATACTCACCTAGGGAACTGGTCCAGAGCAAAGGGCATGAGAGGATTCCCTGTGTTCTTGAGGCTCCTTTTCAGTACTCTGTAGTCCAAATCCCAGCTACCTTGCAATCAGTTATATCTTCTCCATTTATCCTCCATCAGCATGTTCTGCCTTGATTTTTGAATAGACATTTTTACTAGAATTTACTTCATGTTTATCCTTCTACTCTTCACTCATCCTCCTTGCAATTCACACTGTCCTGAGATAATTTCCTTTTTTCAGGTACGTCCTGAATTAGGATAAATTCAACTTTCACTCACCCCTCGCTCTAGAAAATGCCCATGTTCGCCACTGTTCTCAAGGCAATCAAGACATTCAGCTTCATTATTCTTCAGGGTTTTAATTTAAATTCTATTTTATGTGGTAATCTTTGATATTTGCCTTAGTTATTGGAAGCCAAACAAAACACTGCACAAAAATCATACTTCTTTACATTTTTTGTTTCTTTGTAGAAGGGTCTAAATATTTCCACGCCTAGGTGGATGTCTATTGTAAAATTAAGAAAGTGCGGTGCAAGTTTCCTGTAGGTACTTCAAATTGTGTATAAAACCAGCCCATTGTACCCCATAAATACATTAATGTACACAGCTATGATTTAATTTAAAACATCAAAAAAAAAATAACAATACTAGTCTCTACACCAGGGTTGCTTCTGTGTCCTTACCGACAAATGGGATACTTCCAACTGTGGCAAGTAGAATATGTAGCCTATTGGGGAGAAGAATGTCCAACCTTCCATGTGCCTTTAATATCTTTTTGTTTTATGGCCCAAACAAAATATCTAATAAAATTTAAACCTTAGAAACATGCTAACACTTTCCTTCTGACCCAACACATCACTGGCTTTTCAAAAAAGTTCAATTATCAAGACTTGATTTAAATAGTGGGTAACTGTCATCCCTATCCCCAACATAGACTTATATGTAGCATAGATTTATGACTTAAATTTAAACTTTCAGTTACAATTGTCATTACAAAGTGGCAATAAATATGTACTATGATGATACATTAATTTATGGTAAAAAATCAGTTAGGCATTATAGATCATTTCATATTTGTTGGTATTTGTATTTTCAATTTTTATAAAATAAAATTGCAATATTGGCATGACCTTTATTTTAAGAAAGCACATGATATTCCAATAACTCTATGAACTATATGGTCAAAATGCAACAACAGTTTATGTAGTGAAGTGGAAATGCCCGGTAGGGGTCATTCTAGCTGGTCCCAAATTAGAAAGTTATCTGCAGAAGTGATGAGCCTGGTCTGGGGAATTAACGAGGCTTTGGAGATGAGTATCATTTCAGTTCTGCTGATTTAATAAGTGAAGAAATACAGCATCACATACACGGAGTTTTTAAATCACTGAGATACTGATTGTATTTCTTAAACTTCATAGGAGATAGATTTTTATTCCCCTGGTGGCTTTTTGTGAATATGTTTCATTGCCCAACTCAAATAGAAATCGGTGGCTGGAAGTGCTGGTGTTTCTGTTCTTGTGCCCACTGTTCCTCAGTTAGTGAGTGTGGGACAGTCCAACCTGGCCCACAGGCTCCAGAGGGGCGGGGTCACTGTCTGCTTTGTTCTTCACTGGGGATCCAGACAGAGCCAATGGGTGTCCAGGAGTATGGACGACTGGAGTGGTGGAAACTCTTTGTGGTTCCTGATGCCTCCTTCCCCTTTGTTCTCCCTGGGCTCCTCAAAGTCATCCCAGCTGCTTAGCCCTGTGGAGTAAGGGAGATGGGGTGGCTGGGGCCAGGCTGCTGGGAGGCCTGTGGCTTGAGTGATGTGCTGCTCTGGCCACAGGGAGGAGCTGTGCTCTAGGGAGACCTCTGAGGCTGGGGCCTGGGGGAGCGGTAGGGAGTGAGTGGGGAAGGGTGGGCAGGAGAGCCAGTCCATAGGACACCATCCTTACATCAGCAGGGACCACAGGCTGCAGACATCTCAAGCAGGGTAATGTGAAGTTCAAGTCCATTTCCTTCTATTCTGCCTCACATGCTTGTATTTTTCTCTTTCCTCATCCTCCCTATGTTTAGTCTAAGCTCAGACGAGCCCCAGACACTCACCTTGTCCCTTCTATGCTTCCTCTGTCCCCTTTCCATGCCTGGATCCTGGTTGGCATCACTGTCATGCGGCTTGAATGAAGGATATAAGATTCTGAAGCCAGAATGGATCCGTGGTCATCCCATTACTCTCACTCTTCACAAAGCTGATCCAAAGTAGAGACTAGACACCAAGGGCAGCAATGTTGTCAATGCTGCTGTCCTGTGTGCCTGAGAGGGGTGGGGGGACATTCCTTCCAAAGGAAATTGTCTATTTTTGACAAGGATCCTGGGAGAGGTGGGTCAAGGAAGGATCTCTGTAATGAGTGAGGAGAATTAAAAGCAAAATAGCAGGGCCGGGGCTCACTTCTGGCTGAGGCAGGTGGATTGCTTGAGCTGAGGAGTTTGAGACCAGCCTCAGCAAGAGTGGGACCAAAAATAGAAAATATTTCTACCAAAAATAGAAAATAATTAGCCCGGTGTTGTGGGCAGGTGCCTGTAGTCCCAGCTACTTGGGAGGCTGAGGCAAGAGAATAGCTTGAGTCCAAGAGGTTGAGGTTGCTGTGAGCTATCATACTATGGCACTTTATCCAGGGCAACAGAGTCTGAATCTGTCTCAATGAAAAAATTAAAAAATAAAGAGCAAAATAGCAGCTGTCAGAGAAATATCCCAAAGAGCAAAAAGCCTGCACTGCTCTTTCTGCCCAGCTCATCCATCCAGCCCACTCAACTCAAATCCCCCTTCCCTCAGAACCTAATAAGAGTGTAAAGGATGAAGAAGAAATATCTCCAGGGGCTGAGGAAATTGTCAGGAGTGATGACATCACAGGAAAATCCACCAACCAGAGCCACAGGGACCAGAGCCCAGCCCCTCACCCAGAGCATCCCAGGTACCTGATACCCATCTGTGCCTGTGCCATGGGCTGCCGGCTGCTCTGCTGTGTGGTCCTCTGTGTCCTGGGAGCAGGTGAGTCTGAGTTTAAATCGGCTGTCCTCAAACTCCCGGCTTTTCCCTTGTGGCTGCAGCAACTCCCTTCCTCCTCCTGGGCTCTGTCTGAATTTTGTCCCCTTCCCCCTCAGTCCCCATGGACACCGGAGTTACCCAGACACCAAGACACCTGGTCATGGGAATGACAGGTGAGAAGTCTTTGAAATGTGAACAAACTCTGGGGCATAATGCTATGTACTGGTACAAACAGAGTGATAAGAAGCCACCGGAGCTCATGTTTATCTTCAACTATAAAAGACTCAGTGAAAATATGTCTGTGCCAAGTCGCTTCTCACCAGAATTCCGTGACAGCTCTCAATTGCACCTTCGCCTGGAAGCCCTGCAACCGGAAGTCTCAGCCACGTATCTCTGCGCCAGCAGCCAAGACACAGCCCTGCAGAGTCAGCTCCTCCCTGTACACAAACCTTCGGGCCCAGCCAAGAAGCTGGTGAACATTTCCTGTGAGAGCCCTGCCAGAAGGTTCAGAGCACAGTACCACCTGCTTATTCGACCCATGGGGCAACTTTAAATTCTGTTCACATGTTTCCTATGTGGGTTTTCTTACCTGAGGGTGACTCTGCCCTGTCAACTCATTAAAGAAAAGATAAATATATTCAGATCTATTGTTTCTATTTTTATCTTGAAATAAAACAAATCAGTTCTAAAGATGATCTTTTTTTTTTTAAGGTTTTATAAGAATGTTCTAAACAAACACTTGTGGTACCCCAGAGTCACATCTGCACTGGGTCAGAGCATGTCCCTTGAGGAGACAAGGTATTGTGATACCTGAGGCCCAGGGGGCTCTACACCTCTCCTTAGGAACTCCGGAGTCCACTGTGCTACCAGAGTGATGCGCCAGAGTGACCACTGTGCCACCAGAGTGATGCGCCAGCTCAGAGTGAGCTATAGGTTTTCAGATAAGGTACTTGCAGGCAACGGTCCCAGGGCTGGAGTCAGGAGTAAAGGACAGTAGGAGGATCACCCTCTAATTTCTCTTTTAAACACTCAATGCCAGAGCAGGAGTCCTGGCCCCGGTCAGAACTCCAGGTCTGCACAGACACTTTCTCCGGACTGCGGAAGCAGCAAGTGTGCCCCAGGTGCACCCCACGGTCCCTGCTGGGAGCTCCTGGCCTGGAAGCTTCCTTCCTTACGCTCTCTCCTTCCCTTGGTCTGACGTTTCCTTGTGGCTGAATTATCTCAGGAGAGGGCGAAGGAGAAATGTCCCCAGGGGCTGGATTTCTGCCCCTTACTGACACTTGCAAGGTTACTTCTCCCCTTTCTCTTTCTTTGTTCCCAATATTTTCCACCAGGTCACTTTCTCACTGCCTTCTGGGACTCACCACTCATCTCCCAGAAGATTCTCATGGGTTAAGGTTAGTGTCTGGTATTCATATTTCTTTTTTCTTTTTTTGCAGTTTTTTGGCCAGGGCTGGATTTGAACCCACCACCTCCAGCATACGAGGCTGGCGCCCTACTCCTTTGAGCCACAGGTGCCACCCTGGTATTCATATTTCTTTCTTATCTTATTGGGCACATCTGGGGAAGGAGGCAGAAGATATTGCTAGTTTGCAATTTTAGAAGGAGTCAGATCCAAAACTCACATTTCACATCTTTATAATAGTATCTGAAATGTAATGGGCATTTATCATGCAGTAGAAGGCATTTCCGAAGTAATCTTAGATACTCTGTTTTGTTTCTTTTTATAGTTTAAAAAATATAGTAACTGTTTGGGACCTAATGCAGCCATGCACGAATCCCTTTCCCTCCCCCTTATCCTCTCCTCCTAAGACAAAGACAAAAAGGATCAAGTCACAAGACCTTAACCTGACAAGCAACCTGTGGAATGTTCCCACCCCACAGCCCCGTATAAAAAGGGTCTCTAACGCCCCCCTACCCCAGGTGCAGAAACTATCTTTGCACTGCTCAGGTGGGTTACCCTCCCCTTTCAATAAACCTGGCCTGAACATCTCTGTGGTCTCATCTCTGGACACCACCGTTCACACCTTTCAGTAACTTTATCTGATTGAATCCAAAAATGTCTAGGTATGTCTTTTAAAGCAGAGAAATACACTTTTCCTTAATGTGATTTATAATGATAATTTATATTTTTGTGATCTTGTGTGGAAATTTTCCCTCATCTACCATCAAAAACCCTGTAAACCACATCAGCTTCTATTGTGGAAGGTTGTAATGAGTTAAATGTATGAGCAAAATTTATAGAAAGTATTCAGTTATAGAGCACTGCCATCTGGGGTAAGACGATTTCATGTGGTTTATATCCACGGATATTTACTCAATGTGGAATTTCCTTCCTTTTGGGTAGCATCTTGGTGGAGCTCCTGGTCACGAATCACAGCTCCCTGGCTCACTGACTATTGATTGCCGATGTCAGATGCAGCTAGGTCAGAATCTCTCCTCTCTCATGGGATTGTCTTTGGATTTAGAAAGTCAAGAAATAGTTTATATTAGAATACCCATATTTGTTCTATATAATTGCCTATTTTTAAAATTTGGTAACAGTTAAGTCAAATGTAAACTTTTAAAGAACTGTGGATTGGAAGAAAACAGCTGGAAGTAGCAAGTGAGTGATAGTGGTTCTGCAATCGAATCTTCTCCTGATTCTGTTTTCCCAAGTCTCCTGTTTAGTTTTTTAATCCTACATTAATCTAGACTGTCCTCTCCTTCCTAGAAGATTTCATAGCAAGTATAGAACCACAAAGGCAAACTTGGGCATTTAATTAGTATCTACATGTATCTTTACTCACTACTAGGAAATGGACATTACCATATTGTTAATGAACAGAGGCAAAATGACAATTTCTGAAACTGAAAGAATAGAAGGGAAAGAAACAAATTCCCCAGGAGTGTGGGAGCAGTGAGTATTAATGTCTTTATTTGGGGGTAAGCTGATCAGTGGGCACTTAGCACAGAGTGGTCTGAGAGGTCTGCCTTGAACAAGCGGGCTGGAGTCACCAAAGAATAATGAACTTTAATTATAAGCCCTCCAGAGACCATCTGCAGTGCGTGAGACAGGCTGACTTTGTGTAATTGCTGCCACGGTTCTTAGCACATTCACCTAAGAGGGGCTGGTTTTGCACCATCTCCTTCACCAGAATTTTCTCAAAGGCAAAATGCTTTCTCCATCACGTTTTTCCCCCTTACAGTGTAAAAAGTGCACTTGACAAAGATAAATCTCAAATATGATGGGGCTTCCTTGCAACTGCCTAGGAGGAAAAAAAAAGCAAGCACATTGGGCATAAGGGGGAGATCATTATTAATTTAAACACATCCCATGTCCTTTGCACCATGGCAAAAAGGCTGTAGAAGCCGGTTCAGGCTGTAGAAGCTGGTTCAGGCTGCCATAAAAAGTACCACAGACTGTGTGGCTTAAACAGCAAAGTTATTTTCTCACAATTCTGGAGGCTGGACGTCTGAGAGAAGGGTGGGAGCCTGTTGGTTGTGGTGAGGGCTCTCTCCTGGGCTTGTGAAGGGCCCCCTTCTTGTATCCCCACATGGCTGAGGGGAGAGGGTAAACAAGGGCTCTCTCTGGCGTTTCTTCTCACAAGGACACTAGTCACTGAATCAGGAATCCAGTTATGGCTTCATTTTACCTTAATTACCTCCATAAAGGCCTGAGGTTCAAATATGGTCACCTTGGGCACTGAGTTTTGGGGGAAGGAGGTTGTAAACATGGGGTCCATAACAAAAGTAAAATCTTGGTTGTTTCTCAGTGGGCCACGTGGGGGCGCTGTGGAAGTACCAAGGAGTCCAGAGCTGGCTGCCTGGGACACAGAGGGTTAAGGAGCAGCCCTGTTAGATGCTTTTATCCACTAGCAGGTTTGATAATATAGACATGAACTTGCAGGTGTGCTGCCCCAACAGGGAGCCACAAACTTCAGCCCTGCAGTTGCTAAGGAGTCTCTGTGAACATACAAGGGAGAATGAAGGGTAGGTGATGGATAGGGGCAGCCTACATGCTCTGGGCAGAGATAGACAGAGGAACTAATTGTCTGAAGGGAAAAGCAAAGAAACTGAGCGCTGGATGGACATGGGACATAACCCTTGCCCAGCCTGGAGCAACCCAATCTAGTCTAGTCTAGTACGATGTGAGAGGATTTGCAGGACAAAGCAGGGGTCTTGGATCAGCTGAGCCAGGGACCTGGCAAGGGAGGCAGGGTGTGTGGGAACCTGCAGGCACCATGGCATCAGCGCAGCAACACTACAGCCCAGTGTGCATAAGAGAAGGGATGCCCAGAAGCCCAGTCTTCAGTGGAACAGAACCCTGAGTACGGTGAGACCTGCCCAGCTCTCTGACACCCCATCTTGGGCTCCAGGTAACCCTGCTGAATAGGCTTTTGTCCCCTGGGAGCTGGTGAGTCTCTGGAAGAGATGGAACATTTCTACGACATGCATGATCCAAGGCACTACTGGGTTCCTTCTTGTGTTCATTCTCCAGCCTCTGGCTCCTTCCCTCATAGGCCCAGTGGATTTTGCTCTAAGAACAGGAAAGCACTGGACCTTGGGAAGCCTGCGGGAGATGACCACAGAATGATGACATCACGGGACACTCATCCAATCAGGAAAGGCAAAGCCCAGAACTCAGCTCTACCCAAGAGGACCAAGCCCTGAGCACTGAGGCCCAGTGCCACCTGCCCCCTGAACCATGGGTTCCAGGATTCTACCCTGGATGATACTCTGCCTCCTGGGAACAGATGAGCCCTGAACACAGGACACCATCCTGTTCTGTGCTTGCTCACCCCTGCATCCCCCACCTGATACTGGGAGGCCCCACCAGGCTGCCTCCTGTGCTCATTCTCCATCTGCTTTCCCCACAGGCCCAGCAGAGGCTGGAGTCACCCAAACTCCAAGACACCTGATCAAAGCAAGAGGACAGCAAGTGGCATTGAGGTGTTCCCCTGTCTCTGGGCACAGAAGAGTGTACTGGTATAAACAGGCCCTGGGTCAGGGTCTCCAGTTCCTCATTCAGTATTATGAGGGGGAAGAGGGAGAAAAAGGAGACTTCCCTGATCGATTCTCAGGTCACCAGTCCCGTGACTATCACTCTGAGCTGAACGTGAGCTCCTTGGAGCTGGTGGACTCAGCCTTGTATCTCTGTGCCAGCAGCTTGGCACAGCCCTGCAGAGCCACCGACATTCTGTGTACAAACTTCCCTGCCCCAGTATGCAGCAAGCTCACACCTGTCATTATCTGTGACAACCTGTAGATTGTAGGGAGGGGGGAAGAAAACGGTGTCAGGGTGCTGGGAAGTGCTTCCTGGGGATTTTCTGTCATTCAGGGCTGGGGTAAACGAGGCAAGGGCATCTGTTCAGAGGGCAGTGCTGCTTTAGTAGGGACAGTTCAAAATTGTCTCCTTGCCTGACATTGGGGTAGAGGAAGAGTTTGCAGTCTAATAGCTGGCACCCAGTTTTTCAGAGCAGAGGATGTCATTTTGAGGTCAAGATTATTAATAGTGTACTATAAAAGGTAGAGTCTGTGGGGTTTGCTTTATATAATTGGAGGGGAAGAAAG